AATATAATTAAACTTAAATTCAAAATGAAAAAAAAAAACAGAAAAAAATAGAAATCGAATAAAGCTATATTGCAATAAGGATATTTGCAATTAATGGTAGAGATTTTTTTTATATTTTTTTTTAAGAAAAGTGGAGTCACCTCCACTTTTCTTAATGTTACCTTGAAAGATAAAATATACAAAAATAAAACCAAAATTTCAAGAAAAAAGATAAAGCTCTTAATTATTAATTAAAAAAATTAATCAAGTATAGAATAAAAAAATTACCATTAGTGGTTGCTTGTTGTAAACTCTTATCATCCGCATTATATACCAAAGGCAAATTTTCCAGCACTGTTTGTAATGGACCTGGTATTGATCGTGCTATTACTTCAGTCTTTACTAATATTTCTTCTTCCTCATTCACCTTCTTTTGCTCGTCTTGTTGATGCTTTTGCTTTCGTTTATCGAATGAACGTGATGCCAGCGCTTAACAAAACAATCTAACTTATAATTCATTATGAAACTAAAGTTTATTACTTCGAGTAATATTTTTTCAAATTAAAATCAGTAATACTTATTCTGTAGTTTAAAAGTGCCTTAGTGAGTAGTACCATAATTATCTTCTAGTACAAAGCATTAAGGATCCAATTCTCATCATTTCATTCAAAATGGGAATGGCTTGCAAATTTCAACATAATTGTCCTTTAAGCTTTACTAATGTCTGATATTTGAACAATTATAAAAGCTATATAAGTTGAACAAAGAGCACTATAGTTTTCAACTATATAAATTGCACTTTTTGATCGTTTTTTCATATGCACTACGGTAATTTAACATCGTGGTGAAAGAAATGACAAGAGTAAAACAAATACTAAACTTTTTTTATGGCAGAAGTAAATGGAAATACATGGGAATAAAAAGGAAAAAAAAAACGAAGTAGGCATATAAAGTATGAAATTAATCAAATTCATAAGTAATAAATTTAGTAAATAAATAAATAAGCAAGCAAAGAATGCATTTGGGAGTAAATGAATAAATGAATAAGCAGTAAAGTAAATAAGCTCTAAAAAAAAAGAACGAAAGAAAAAGATGTAAAAAAAAAAATGCTATAAATCAACATCCAACCTCTCCCCAACGCTATCCTAGCAGTCAACAGAGCCTCCACCCACGCATTTCAATTAGCGCAATAAAAGAAGGCCGAGAACATCAGCTCACTGTAATCGTGATGCAAATTACTCGTCTCAGGTTTTTGATCAAGAAAGAAATGATAGAAATGATATTTAAATACTTGAATATATAAATACCTGAATTTGGATACTCTATTTATGCTTTATTTGTAGAAAATCAAATTATAATCTTGCATATGACAAACAATTGAACATTGGAAATACATTATTAGGCAGTTAAAAAGTAGAAATATAATGTTGGAGGAAAATCTAATATTATTGGAAACAAATCAAATAAGCACAAATGTGTACATATTAGCTAATTAGCATTACTCATATTTGATTATTACTCTTTCTGTTATTTAATTAATAAATGAGTGAATAACTGGTACGGTTAATTTCTTGTAAGAAAAATTTAACACTTAATTAGATACAACTGTATCACAAAATGCATGATTCTGAACTAAGCACGATAGTTTGACGAGTAATTTCCAATATTTGAAATTCATGTAATATGCAGTTTTAGTTAATTGATGAATAATTACTGCTATTATTAAAATAATCCCGTAAATTTTAAATTTCCCGTATCACTACAATGTATTAATGTTTTCGCTTATTGATATTTCAAAAATTTTGAAGAACCGGAATTTGCCATTATTTTTTGTTGTTTGCAATTTTTTTTTTCTCATTTGCATCCTGTCCGCTTTTTTTTTTCTTTTTCTAATATTTTCAACAAGAATTGCTACTTCTTTTTTCCACTTTTTTTTTGCTAAACGCCTTTGCTAATTTTTGTTATCAAACATCCGTTACTGAAATTTTTTTCTCGCTATTTCATATTTCCAATATTTGAATCATATTACTATTTCCAATATGTAAATTCATATGACCGTTAATATATTTCAAGCAGTAATTTTAACCGAAAAAAATTCTAATACATAATTAAAATAAATAACAAATGAAATATTTCATTAAAAAATGAGTTATTATCAGAGTCTTAGCAATAATTTACAATTATTTCACCAAGATTATTCGGTAAAATTTTGTTCGAGGAATAATTTATATTAATTTTCTATCGAATATCGGATTTAATTATATCATTTTTCTTATTGCTATTTCCAATATTTAAATTCATGTGGTTTTTGATATGATATGTAGTTCTTAGTGGAATATCATATTTCATACCATAAACTATTTCCAATTTATAATATCTCATTTATATATATACTATTTTTTTCACAAAATATTTACTGAGAAAGTAAATCAATCGAACTATTAATGTAAATATTTAAATGTTAAATTGAAGTTTTCTAATGACCATCGATATATTTCGAGCAATAATTTTAACCGAAAAAAAAATTCTGATACATAATTAAAATAAATAATAAACAATGAAATATTATATTACAAGGATCTTAGTAATAATTTACAATTATTTTACCAAAGATTATTCGATTAAATTTTGTTTGAGGAATAATTTATATTAATTCTACTATCGAATATCGGATTTAATTATTCCACTTTTATTTTGTAATCATAACATCATCGAAGAGAAGTAAAAAAAATTTATCGTAAATAAATTAATTTAATTGATCGTCGAAGTGAAATAAAAAAAGGTTTGTTGTAAATGAATTAATTTAATTGATAATATCGGATTTAATTGTGTCACTTTTATTTTGTAATCATAATAGCATCGAAAAGAAGTCAAAAAAAAAATGTTTATCGTAAATGAATTAATTTATTTGATCCCGTTGAAATACTTTGACTGTACCGTTTTTATTTCATGGCATAATATTACAAAAGAAACTTACAGAAGAAATTTGCCAAAAATAATTAATTTAATTGATTGTGTCGAAATACTACTTGCGGTCGTATCATTCCAATTTGATATCACAATATTATTAGTTTCTTTCTCGGGGAAAATTTGTCAAAATTAATTAAATTTAATTTATGTTAATACGCACATCTAACTGCTATCCATCAACTTTACCATTGCTAACAAAAAAAAGTTGTAATTTTAAAAGAAAATTTGAATAAAAAATTAAATTTAAATGATATGAGAAAAAAATCTTTTTACATTATTTCTGATATGCTGTCAATAATGTATCATAAATGTTTGAAAATTTGTCACAGTATAATATTTCAATTCTTTTATTGTTCGCTGCGTCTTTAAATATTCGTTTGCTGAATATCTGAGGTATATTATTCTAAATATTTATTATTGCGATAAAGAAAATATTCCAAATTCTTTAATATTTATTGCCAAACGCTATCATTTATTTGCAATAATTTTTTTTTTTTTTTTATTAATCGTTTGTTATTTCTTTTTTTTCGAAATTTGAATTTTGTATTATTTAAATTTTTTTCTGTTTTCATTTTGCATCATAAAAATTTTTTTTTTGCTTTTATTTTGTATCATTTAAATTAAATTTATTAATAAATGAGACATAATGTTAACATATTTTTTAATTTGACACATTTTAACTAATTTAACTGATGCCAATTAAAATTTTTTCCCTATAATATCATGTCTTTCACACATTAAAATTTCATTCAAACAAACAGTGTCAATATATTTTAATTAATTTTAAACTTTAGTATATTTCTTCGAAAAAAATTTTTATTGATTAGGCCACAATTTTTTTGTGTATGAGCTTGATTATTAGAACTTTCAAAGAATCAATTTTACACTTCTATACTTCAATGCATCACTCTTCAAACTATATAAATTTCGTTCAGTTTAAAAATTCTCTCCTAATCATTTCCATTTTTCTGGTTACTTTTGTTGTAACAGAAGAGCAGCATTTCACTAAAATATGCCTGTTGATGTTATTTTACTTAAAGAAAAGAAAAAAAAGTAAAGCGATTAAGCTTATTTCTCATCACATTTTGTTTGTTTATTATTAGTTTTTTTTAGATTTTTTTTTAGATGAACGAATATAATGATTATTATTTCTTTATTAATTATTTAACTATAAATCTTTTCTTTGAAAAAAAGATTCAATTTGATGTATTTTAGTTGTTTATGAATTTGAGAATGATAGAATTTAATGAAATAACGGCTATTAAATGTCAAATATTTTGCATTTTTTCACACTTTTTTTTTCTAGAGACATTAATTAAATAATAGAATTTGATGATGAAAGTCACGATTTCTGCAGTCAAATGTATTTTCCTTCATTGAACTAAATTTCAATTAATGATAAAGGTTATCACTCTATTATCATCGTCACTCTCTATTGCTTATATATACCTGTATTTTTTTATCTGTCTGTCTGTATATAATTTTCCATAAATTTTTTCATGAATTTGAAAAATGTCTATCACTCTCTTTAATGTTTTTTTTTTTCATTTGACTCTTTCATCATGACATCACGAGATAAGATTAATGGTTCTAGCAGAAAAATGCTAAAAATCTTTTAGAAAAAGATTATATATGTATATATATATCTGAAATTTTTCAAAAAATTAATTCAGGAGTTTTTAAATTATCAGAAATTCAGCATAATTAAAGAATAATTTATTAAATATCTCATAACAATAATAATAAAAATACTATTACAATTTCATGATTTGGAATAAATTATATGGAATAATGAAGCTGTTTAGCAATTCTAAAGATATACTAATAATTGACAGAAAAGAAAAGACGAGCGAAAAGAGAGAGAGAGAGAGAGAGAGAGAGAGGGAGGGAAATAAATTGTTCAATCAAAGATATTGAAAAAACCTGATATTGATATGTGCTGTGGTACTGAAATTTAATTTTAAATTATTATTGTATGTATGTATTATTACTATTGATAATGATAGTAATACATACATATAATTACATACAATAAATTATGACGCCTTTGCTATCAATAAGATATTGTAAATTTTGAAGCTTAAAATTTTAAATTAGTTCTTCAAAATAACACATACAGTTGAGTAATCAAAATTTTTTTCTCATCATTTTGCAATAAGAAATTAGCAAATATTTTCTTAATATGTTATTAAAAGATGAACCCCAAAAATTTTTTGCAAAAACATTTCTTTAAAGTTATAAACAAATGGAAAAAAAAAATTGAAATGAAAGGAGAAGAAAGAAAGAGAAAGAAAAAGGAAAAGAAAAACGGTGGAAATTATAAAATTTATTTCATGAATTTTAAACTTATGTGTTTTCGGGATAGGTCGATTGAGCAGAAGTTTGCAGTGAATGATCGATTAATGTTCAAATTTTCATTTGCCAGCTATATCCTTCAATGAGTAATATAAGAAAAAAAGGAGGAGGAGGAAAAACTAAAAATCCCATCTTTTCTTTTTTTCCTTTACTTTTCATTTTTTTCTTTTCAAAATTGTTAAAATTACGCAAAAAAAATAAGGATGAAATTGAAAAGAAAAAAAAAAAGAAAGAAATAGAAAGAAAAAGCGAAAAAAAAAGAAACTAAGACAGATGAAAAGAAGAAGGAGTG